CCAAGTTACACAAGACGTAGAAAGATTTCACAACGATTTATGAATCACACTCTCCCACATGATATATATAGAGAGAGACCCTCTGTTCTCTAGCCAATACGTCAAGACTTCCCTAAACTAAGAGAGACCATGAGTACCGAGGAAACCTTAGCAGAGCAAGTGGAAAGACTTTCAAAGAGATTAGAAGAGTTAAGACGGGATAGATTTACAGTTCCGCCGACTAAAGAGGAAACTATCATCGATTTCAACAAACCGCTGTACTTTCATCCCCTACCCCAAAGAACGAGACGAGTGGACTCGCCGTTGAACAGTTCCAATGAGAAACAGAACGTCACTTATTTGAATAGCCAATTTCAACACATGAATATTTCATAAGTATTTTTTTGTTTTTTTCCCTAAAGCGTAGGGAAAGCGGATCAGTAGTTTTTCCCTTTCCATCGTCGGAAAAGATTGGGAAGAAAAATCTTTCTGAGCTCTCTCAGAAAAATTTTCTAGCCTTAAAAAAAAAAAAAAATAAAAAAAAAAAATAAAAAAAAACTTTTGTTAATTTTTATCATGTCTTTAGACATGATAAAATTAACTCTAACCCCCTTTTGTCTGGAATGTTGTCTCACACTTTCTAAAAATAGACCATCACTCATCCTTTCCTAAAGAATAGAATTCCAAGAATGGGATCTGGTCAAAGGACTCTCCCTGATCTCTTTAAGTATTCCAAGTTTCGCTTCCGTTCAGTCTGTGCTAAAAATACAAACTACTACGGTATCGTGGTGTATGGAAACAGACTCTTGTCCATCGATCCCCCCCCCCCCCATTTTTTTAAGAGTGGATTTTCACATTTTCCCTATAGATCCTTCTCCCTGTTTCATCAAACCCTCTCTATCGCTCTGCATGAAAGATATGTATCCATTAGCTTCCCATGACCACCTTCCCCTAGCCAAGATTGGATTCAAGAGGTTATCGAAAAAAACTGGGTTGAGTAAAGGAAAAAGTACATTGGATAAGACACGTTTGTTTCTTCCTTTCCAATGTACTATTTCCTTCACTCAACGCGGTTTTTTTCGCCTCCTCCCTGACAGACGGGAAAAAAAAAGAGGAGGATGTCCCGTATAAAGATCGTCCAAAAAAATACCATCCCTTTTATATAGACCGCGTGATGCCACCTCATCTCATCATGATTTCTTTTTTTTTTTTAGGAAGACTCGATAATGGAACTTTAATAATACAGATGAGAGTCCAAGATGGAAGATCATCCCCTACCCCAAAGAACGAAACGAGTGGACTCGCCGTTAAACAGTTCCAATGAGAAACAGAACGTCACTTATTTGAAAACCCAATTTCAGCACATGAATATTTCATAAATATTTTTTTGTTTTTTTTTCCTAAAGCGTAGGGAAAGCGGATCAGTTGTTTTTCCCTTTCCATCGTCGGAAAAGATTGGGAAGAAAAATCTTTCTGAGTCCTCTCAGAAAAATTTTCTAGCCTTAAAAAAAAAAAAAATAAAAAAAAAAAATAAAAAACTTTGTTAATTTTATCATGTCTTTAGACATGATAAAAATTAACTCTACCCCCCTTTTGTCTGGGAATGTTGTCTCACACTTTCTAAAAATAGACCAACTTCTCCTTTCTAAAGAATAGAATTCCAAGAAGGGATCTGGTCAAATGAACTTTCCCTGATCTCTTTAAGTATTCCAAGTTTCGCTTCCGTTCAGTCTGTGCTAAAAATACAAAACTACTACGGGATCGTGGTGTATGGAAACAGACTCTTGTCAATCGATCCCCCCCCCATTTTTTTAAGAGTGGATTTTCACATTTTTCCCTATAGATCCTTCTCCCTGTTTCATCAAACCCTCTCTATCGCTCTGCATGAAAGATATGTATCCATTAGCTTCCCATGACCACCTTCCCTAGCCAAGATTGGATTCAAGAGGTTATCGAAAAAAACTGGGTTGAGTAAAGGAAAAAGTACATTGGATAAGACCCGTTTGTTTCTTCCTTTCCAATGTACTATTTCCTTCACTCAACGCGGTTTTTTTCGCCTCCTCCCTGACAGACGGGAAAAAAACAAAGAGGAGAATGTCCGTATAAAGATCGTCCAAAAAAATACTATCCCTTTTATATAGACCGCGTGATGCCACCTAATCTCATCATGATTTCTTTTTTTTTTTTTAGGAAGTCTCGATGATGAAACTTTAATAATACAGATGAGAGTCCAAGATGGGCTTAAAAAGCCATTTCATTAAGCATGCATAAATCTGCTCGAAAGAATCTCGAATAAGAAGGAGAATATAAAAAAAGCGGGAAGGTTGGAAACGAGTCCTTTTCTCTCTATATAATATTTCTCTCGTTTTGGAAGGGTTCCAAGCCGACCCGTTCTCTTTTTTGAAAAAAAAAAAAAAAAAAGAAACTCCAACCAGATGAGTTTTTTTTCGCCCCAAGGTGACCTTTACAGGATAACTCTTTCAGGGTCCATCCATCCTCTTATGTGAAACGGTGACCCTGACGAGATCGAGATAAACAAGTCCTGTGAGTTGTTTTGTGATCTTGACGCGATCCAAGAAAGACTTTTTTTTTTTGGAAATAGGCGGGGGGAGAAAACGTTCTCACGACCCTCAGATATCCTTTCATAAATATATTTTTTATCAAAGTGTTTCTTTCATCCCGATCCTTTTAAGAAAGAGGTTGGAATGACCCTGACATTTAGATGGGGTCGCGATCCCGACAGATGTCGCGCGAGTATAAAAGTGTGTGTCCTCCGCGAGATTTCTTCAGAGAACAGAAGAAGACGTGAACTGAGCTGGTAAGTCCCTTTGGTCCTATGAATATGGTTATATAAAATCGATTTGATTCTTTGTTTTTTTTAATAATCATAATAATAACTTCATTTAAAAAGAACTCTCTTCTTAACCCTTTGAAAAGAAAATGTCTCTTTCAAGACGATGACTCTAAAACGTTTTATTGTTTTTTTTTCTTTCTAGATCTTCCCTGTTATATATATATACCTTTTCGATTCTTTTTTTCCTGTTTGTGGGAGACATCACCGTATTCATCGCCATGGCGTGTTCAGAAAACTTTATCGTGCTCGATCTAGAGGGTTTCCAGTCCTACAACCACAAGAAGGGTGAATTTACCTACGTTTTAAAAGAATTGGGCTATGCGACAAAAGATTTTTTGACCGTGGGATCGTTGACGTTTGCTCCTCCTCAACCCTTCCACCAACTGAGTGACAAAAACCAAAAGACGAATGCCTGGCTGACGAGAAACCGGCACGGGCTTCGTTGGAACGAGGGCCATATTCCCTACAACCATTTAGGACGCATTCTCCAATCGCTCACTCACAGCTTCTCCACGATTTATGTGGTGGGATGCCAGAAAGCTAAATTCTTTGCTAAAGCCTTGGATTATCAGAAACCCGTGACGGAAATTTATGTGCCAGATGGAATCATTTGGAAGTATCGGGGAAAATGTGCCCGACATCATCAAAGGAGGAAATATTTCCATTGTGCCGAAAACAAAGTGCGCAACTATCGGTGGCACATTACGGAAGGAGATTTTCATATCAATCACGTCTATCCAGACGGAACGGAGAAAGAGGAGAGGATCCAGGAGGAAGCAGACAATCCTCTGCAAGCTTTTGATAAGGCCTACGATCAGTTAGAGAAGGATCCGTCCCCGAAAGCGTACGATGACCTCCTCCAGAAATGGGATAATCTGTCCTGTTTCCAAGTGATGGAACATCCGGATGAGCATACGCCTTTCCACTTGATGGGCTCTTCTTCTTCTTTCGTCGTCGACTTCCTCCAATAGCTCGAGGAAGACGGAGGGTTGGGGAGACGTACCTGAAAATATTCCCCATTACGATCCAGCAGCCTGTTGGGACGAACCTCCCAAAGAATCTCCTGAGACCCCCAAAATATCTTCAGAGGATCCAAAGACAAAATCCACTGAGACTATGTCAGAGTGTTGGGACGATGAACGGACGACCCATGCTCCAAAATCCACTGAGACTATGTCAGAGTGTTGGGACGATGAACTGACGACCCATGCTCCAAAATCTACTGAGACTAAGTTAGAGTGTTGGGACGATGAAACCGAAAAGACGACAGAGAATTGGGATGACCGTTCTCAAAAGTATTTGAATTGATATATATAAACTCAGGAGAAAAAAAAAAAAAAAAAAAAAAAGATTTTTAGAAATAAGTAGGGAAAGGTTCTCCGCTTTCCCTATATTTATGGAAATGGACTAAGAAGAGAGAGAGACGAATCAGGAGACCAAAAAAATGGGTCTTGGAAGGAATGAGTGCAAATGCATTCGATTCCTTCCGAGACCCATTTTTTTGGGTCCCTCTCTCATCCAATCTTGGAAAAGAACTTTGTCCTATTTTTCTAGGTCCATTCAAAAAGAAATGAATCTATCCATAAATTTTCTTAAAAAAAAAAAAAAAAAAGATCCTTCACCTCTTGACGGTCCAAAGTCGGGAATCTTGGAAAAAGTCATCCACTCTCCATCCAGTCAAGCTTCTCTGTAGAAAATCTAGTAGGTGCATCTGCATTCTTGAACACCCGGCAGTTATTATTGGACGCGAAACGTCGAATGCTGAAATAGTTAACAGTGAGCCCATTCTTAAAAAACGGTGATGTTTTATTCATCCAGTCGAGTGGGAAAAATTTCTGAGAGCCGGAAAAAAATTTCTCTGGCTGAAAGTTAGATATGAAAAAAAAAAAAACTTTTTGTTAATTTTTATCATAGACATGATAAAAATTAATGACCCCCCCTTTTTGTCTGGGAATGATGTCTCACCCTTTCGAAAAACAAACCGTGAGTCATTCTTGAAATAATAGCAAGTAGAAAGAAATCGATCAAGGAAACTCCATTCTTAAAAACTGAGTCTTCTCTTGTGGATTGACTGTAGGAAAAAAAAAAATACCCCCCTTTTTCAGTCTGAAAATTGATGTCTCAAATTTTTTGAAAAATTGAAGACATCAATTTCAGACGAAAAGGGTTTTTTTTTTTTTTTTTTTTTTTTTTTTTTTTTCACAGTGTGTCGACATTTTTCATCTTGGAATATCGTCAATATTCTAGATGTGACTTGTAAGCGACCCGTTTAATTACAGGATGGAACTAGAGAGTGACTGTAAAATTTTCCGAATATCCTTTACCGTTTCATTTATACTTCTGTGTGCATCAACAAGGTAAACATTTTTTTCTTTAAGTAAAGTTTTTTTATATTGATTTTCTAATTTGGTGAGATATTCTAATGTAATATTACGTTCCTCGGATTTATTTCTCAACTTTATTCGTTTGTATGCCTCCAAGCTATCGATTTGTAAATAAATATAATAATCCACATCGTACGTCAGGGATTTATATAACTCATCGTAAATGTCCATGGTCGGTTTATCAAATATCAATTCGCTAAAGACGTGTCTCGATGTCCAGGGACAACGTTCAACAATGATAAGACCAGGTATATCTTTAAACTTTTCTTTCTGATCAAACTGAGATAATAAAACTTGAAATTGAAAAGCCTTCTGGTATTTTTGAGGTTCATCATAGAAATGAGATAAAAGCGTAAATTTTTCAATGGGTTCTTCAAAACAGGGATAGTTGCTTTTTAAACGTTTCATGATACTGGATTTACCAGCTCCAATTAAACCATCTATACACACAATCATCTGCTTCATATTTTTATTTTTGGGGGGGTACGGGTAAATCTCCTAAAAAGCGAGAGTACCCTTCTTGCTACTAAATGTAAAAGTTTGGCTCACCTATTCCAATAGTAGAGGGTTTAAATAGGCAGACGAGAGTCCATTCTAGAAAGAATTAAATCCTATCTTGTCCATCGAGTTGGCTGGGAAAAAACTCTGAGGGCCGGAAGAAAATTTTCCTAAAAAAAAAAAAAAAAAAAAAAAAAAAAAAACCTTTTCGTCTGAAATTGATGTCTTCAATTTTTCGAAATTGTGAGACATCATTTTCGGACGAAAAGGGGGGTAATTTATTTTTCTAATTGCATCCAATGTAAGATAGAGTCACGGTTTGTTTTTTCAAAAAATTGAGACATCATTTTCAGACGGAAAATTTTTTTTTCAGTTTCCACAAGAAGACTCAGTTTTAAGAATGGAATTTCCTTGATCGATTTCTTTCTACTTGCTACTATTTCAAGAATGACTCACGGTTTGTTTTTTCGAAAGAGTGAGACATCATTCCCAGACAAAAAAGGGGGTCATTAATTTTTATCATGTCTTAGACATGATAAAAATTAACAAAAATTTTTTTTTTTTTTTTCATATCTAACTTTGAGCCACAGAAATTTTTTTCCGGCTCTCAGAAATTTTTCCCAGCCGACTCGATGTGAATAAAACTTTACTGTTTTTTAAGAATGTTATTTCCTGGATCGATTTCAACCTATCGAGTTTCGCTTGAGTTCCGGCCGTGCTGTGGGCCCACCTGGATACAAGTTTTCCCCTTTTGGAATAGAATTTCCGTCAAGGTAGGCTCCTTTTCCTCTTTTTGCATTTTTCATGTCATTTCATTTGTATTGCAATATACTGAAAACGGGCGTTCGAACCGATTTCTAGGCTATTTCTACACAAATGGAGCTCGATCCAAGAAAAAAATGATGTTTTTTTTTATTTTGTGGACTGCCAATTTGTATTGGAATATACTGAAAACGGGCGTTCGAGTCGGTTTTCAGTATATTCCAATACAAATGGAGCTCGATCCAAGAAAAAAAATGATGTCTTTTTTTTTTTGTGGACTGCCCTATTTGTATTGGAATATACTGAAAACGGGCGTTCGACGTCGGTTTTCAGTATATTCTAATACAAATGGAGCTCGATCCAAGAAAAAAATGATGTCTTTTTTTATTTTGTGGACTGCCCTATTTGTATTGGAATATACTGAAAACGGGCGTTCGAGTCGGTTTTCAGTATATTCTAATACAAATGGAGCTCCATCCAAGAAAAAAAAATGATGTCTTTTTTTTATTTGTGGACAGCCAATTTTGTATTGGAATATACTGAAAACGGGCGTTCGAGTTTTTTCAGACTATTTCTATACACATTCCACTATATCAAAATGACGTCATCGTTGAGTCGTCCCCGGACAAAGTCGTCCCCGGACAATTTTATACCGAATTTGTATAGAAATATACTGAAAATGGGCTTGAGGGCCGCTTTCTAGTATATTCCTATATACATTCGGTTGCATTCAGAAACAAAAAGAATGTCTTTTTGAATGGACAGGATGACTATGGAAACCGGATCTCTCTCTCCCAAGATTGGATGAGAGAGTGATTGAAGACATCAATTTCAGACGAAAAGGGTTTTTTTATTAATTAGTAACACTGAAACATCAATTTTTAAACAACTCTTTTACTATTCTGTATCTTTTTCGTTTGTCTTCCCATCCTTACCTTTATCTACTATTACAAACTCGGGAATTTCTGATTTATATTCTTGTAAACGATGAAAATAAACCAAAGCTTCCTGAAAAGCACAATATTTTGTTCGGCCTAAATGTTTAGAACAAAACGATGTGTATGTATCTGTACAAGATACACTCGTTAAATCGCATAAATTTTCCTTTGAATCAGATAAATTTTCCCTCTCTGATCGAAAATTCACTATAACTGGACGAGCGAGAGTCTCAGATAAAAGATTAATCTTCCAATAATCAGGACAATAAATGGTTTTATATCCTTTAGTTAATGAAATAAGGAATGCTTGTACTTCATCATATGGTAAATGTCCTTCGTTCCACGAAAAGCCATGCGTGCTGTCAGCTAAAGGTAAGTAAATGGAAGTGAAACATTTTTGAGTAGAAGAAGATAATTGTGTCCATGGTATAGGTGGTTCTACATAAATGATTCCTTTCGACTGGTCACTTGTTATATAAGCCAGTTCTTTTATTATGTATTTGGGAAGCTCATTGCTGCAAGACATATGCAACTCTTTGAGAGTTTTTTCATTTTCAATTTCAAAACCTTCGTAATTAAGAATAATATACGATTCCATATTTTTGCTATATATATCTTGATTATTAAAAAAACTTAAATTTGAATACATCATTTTTAGACAAAACGTTTTTATGTATTCTTTCGGTAAGATGTAATTTTCATGGATCTCTTAATCATAGTATAAGAAGGATTTAAATTTCGATTAGGAAAAATGTAATTCAATTTTCGTTTTAATTGGGACAGATATGTCATGCGTGTTTTGGGGAAAATGGGACCACCTGGAATTGACGCTAAATATTCGTACAGGTACCGATTTTTTTTTTAAATCTGATCTGGAGATCTTTCTTCCGGCCCTCAGAATTTTTTCCCAGCCAACTCGATGGACAAGATAGGATTCAATTCTTTCTAGAATGGACTCTCGCTTGCCCATTTAAACCCTTCAAGTTTCGCTTCAAATCCCTCTGTGTTGTGGAAACAGTTGGTAAATGATTCATTTCTCAAGTCATTGCCCCTCAGTTCGCTTTTCATGGGGAAGATCTATCCAAAAGATTTTGTGTAGGAAATTTAGATTCTTGAAGATTTAGCTATCTATATATAACAATATGTTTTCTTTTCAAAAAAATCCAGTCTTGATCGAAATGGACTTTACGCACAATTTATTGTGTCCCCCTTTCCAAGATTGGCTTAAAGAAGTGATAAAAAAATGGATCTGGAAGGAAAAGAGTGCATTTCGAGAAAAAAAAAGAGGACCCTCTTTTTCTCGCAATGCACCCGTTTCCTTCCAGACCCATTTCTTTTGCCTCCTCAGAACTCTCTTTCTTTTCTCCTCCCTCTCTCTCTTAAGAGGGATTGAAAGAAAGAGGCTAGATGGAAAAGTTTCTTTTTTTTTCTTTCGAGAAGATAAAAAAAAATTTGGAGGAGGAGCAAATTTTTTTTTGGGTGGTGGTGGTTGTTTTTTTTTAGAAGGTGATAACTTTAGTGACATTTAAAGAGACCACCAGAGGATCCGTTTGAGTCTCGACGACCTTTTCTTGACGGGGGTCTGTCTGGCAATAAGCGCTGGCATATTGTTTAGGGTAAGTAGAAGAATCCGTCATGCCTGGATGAGGCGGTATGTAGCGCACTCCCAGATTAAAGAGGGTGATGAAGGGAAATCTCTCCCCCGGATAGAGCAGTCGGTAAACGGGTTGATTGGGTACAACTCGAACCAGCGGCTGAGTTAAAATGCTATACACCCAGGCCAGAAGCTGATTATTTTTAGGATTCTTTTCGGCCAGATGTAACATTTCTTCGCTGGAGAGGACATATCCCTCTTGAGAACTGCCGAGACTCTCAAGATCTTTTATTTTCCTGAAGACGTGGTGTTCGTCGAAAAACACGGAGAGAATGTCCCAGGTTCTTTTACTGGAAGTATGAATCAGAGGCAAAATGTCCGTAGCGTTCCAAAACAATCTTCCGTCATCCACATAACAGCGAATGCTCACAAACTCATTATATAAGACGCGGATCATCATCTTGAGTAGAAATATGGATACGCACAGCAGTCTCTCTCTCTCTGGGAAATAGAGTCTGTCTTCCACTCGCCTCTCTATATATACGAGAAGACCACGTGATGGGCGACGTGACGGTTGACTTCTAGAAAAAAAAATCAACTTTGTCTACTCTCTCTCTCTATGACCTTCTTCTATTTTTTTCCTAAAGGACACCCCGTCACCTTTTCAAAGGTCATGGGATTGAGAGGAACGAAAAAAAAAACAACCATCCTTTGTATACTACCTATGACCTTCTCCTAGAGACCCCTGTCATTTTCTTCTCGAGAGCTACGTGATGAAAGCTTTTTTTTTTATTCTAGAGTTTATCAACTTTGTAGACACATGACCCCGTCACCTTCTCAAAGGCCATGTCGTATGGAATGGGACCCTTTTGGTTTTTTCTTTTGAGAAAATAAAAAATAAAACAACTTTATAATCATCTCTCTATGACCTTCACAAACACTCATGTTTTATCATTTTTTTTATTTTAGAATTCATCAACCTTGTTCCTCCTCCCCTCTCCCTCTCTCTCTCTGAGGAGTCTATATAAACGGATCGCCAGCGAGCTCTTGTTCATATCAGACGAGTGTTTCGCCTTGAGAACGGAAAAAAAAACAAAAGCCATGCTGCTCAAACTGGAATATAACGATGACTATTACGTGCACGCGTATGTGGATCTAGGATTCCTGTACTGGAATGCCAAAGATATCTTGACTCTCTTGCCTACGAACGTCTCGCATACGACGAGTGTTCTCCAAGTCTTTTTTCCTAATCGACACCATTTTCTTCGACTAGGCGATTTGGACAACTACTCCAAAGAATGGGGTCAACCGAACCAGATTGTCCTCACTTCGAATGAAGCGGCCTTCGTCGCTTCGAAATCCCTGCATAACAAGTCGCTCTTCCCTTGGATGTGTAAAATATTCATGAGACCTCTGACGAAAATTGAGGAGGACGGGGAAACGTATATCACCCTCCGAGAGACTGTGCAAGACGAACAAGAAAGGAAAAAGAGTCCTCTCTTTTTCATCACTCAATTCGGGATCCATCATCTCCCCAAAATCATCCAGAGACATCAAGCCTTCGTTGAAAAGTATCAGAAAGAGGATGATGGTGATGATGATGATGATGATGATGATGCGATATGGTCTCCAGTCGCTTAAGGAAGGGGAAACGTTCTCCGCTTTCCCTATTCCATAGACTGGAGAGTTGAATCAGGAGACCAAAAAAATGGGTCTTGGAAGGAATGAGTGCATTTCAAAATGCATTCGATTCCTTCCGAGACCCATTTTTTTGGGCCACTCTCTCCTCCAATATTGGGAGAGAGAGAGAAAAGAAATTTATCATCTCCTGTCCACCCAAAAAGAAACTATGTATTTTTGTTTTTCTGGAT